ATGCTCAATGACTTTTCAATCTGAGGTGAACGTTTGTGCGAACATATTTACATGTATATGTGTTTGGTTTAGTTGTTTTGGTTTTTTTTTGTTTTGTTTTGTTTTGTTTTTTCAAGACAGGGTTTCTCTGTGTAGTTTTGGTGCCTGTCCTGGATCTCGCTCTGTAGACTAGGCTGGCCTCAAACTCACAGAGATCCGATTTCCTCTGACTCCCGAGTGCTGGGATTAAAGGCGTGTACCACCACCAGTTTTGGGTGCACAGGAAAACTGTGAAAGTTGCTAAGTATGGTGGTTCATGCCTGAGCCCAAACTAGTCTGACACCCGACTGAAAAAAAAAGACAACAGTGTCTATAGACAGCATCCCCATAGTTGGATCGCTATCTAACACCTGTTTGGTGTAGTTAAGACAAGGGTAGGGTGCACAGTACACGTTAGCTCAGCCGACCTGGTCACTCAGATGCTGCTCATGCCAAAGAAAGACTTGTCTTTCTGGCCCTTGACCTACTGAAGATAACTGAGGCCTTGGAATGTCTCTCTTGTAAATGTATCTGTCTGCCTGATTAATGAGCACAATCACTGTATCAATTTGACTTCTGTGGAAGGAAGGAGACTCCCTTGTGCGGGTGCCCTCTGCCTACTGATTGGCTCCCGACCTAAAACTCCAAGGCCTGGTATGTTGATATGTTATACAAAGATGCTGGGAATTGTTTCCTGTGTGATTCCATGGCGAGTAGTTAACAAATGCTGGAGAAATGGATCTGGCCTCTCTGCTCATTCAGTGACAGCTATTTACTGAGCACCTGCTACACAGCAGGAACTGTAATAGACCCCAGGTGCCGTGTAGAAGTTCCAAGGTTGGCTCTTATGTGCTTTATTATTTATTGGTTTTTCTTTTTCTTTTTTTCCTTTTTCAAGACAGGGTTTCTCTGTGTAGCTTTGTGCCTTTCCTGGAACTCGCTTTGTAGACCAGGCTGGTCTCAAACTCAGGAGATTCGCCTGCCTCTGCCTCCCGAGTGCTGGGATTAAAGGCATGTGCCACCACCGCCCAGCTATTTATTGGTTTTTCTGAGATGGTTTCTCTATGTAGTTTTTTTTTTCCTGCCATAAGTATGTATTTCAACAGTATTTATTTTTGAGATAACAATCAGAATATATGAAAAAAATATTTATACCCATCCAATCTGTTTCACTAAAGGTTTTTAGTATTGTAATCGAAGTTAAAAAACACATTTAAATGGTCATGTAAAATCATGAGGGTCACACTGTTCATAGCATCTAGAATGATGTTGCCTCTACTAAAGATGAGATCTTGCTGTATATCAGGGATGAGGCTAGATTCCACACCTGTCGATAGAATTCTCTTTCCTTCATTTTCTTGGAACTTTTTTTTTCTTAAGATTTTATTTTTAAAATTTCTTTATATATTTTTGGTTTTTTTGAGACAGGGTTTCTCTGTGTAGCTTTGCCCTTTTCTTGGATCTCACTCTGTAGACCAGGCTGGCCTCGAACTCACTCGCCTGCCTCTGCCTCTCGAAGGTGTGTGCCACCATCGCCCGGCTTATCTATTTTTAATATATTTTTTTAAATTAAGTTTTCTACTTATCCTACATAGCACCCACAGATCCCACCTCCTCCCACCCCCCAGCCCTCCCTCCCAAGCCACCCTGCCCACATCCTCCAAATCAAGGTCTCCCATGGGGAGTCAGCAGAGAGGTGCCCTCTCAGGCAGGTCCTAGGTGCCACATCACAGGCACCAAGCTTCCAAAAGCCTGCCCATGCATCAAGCGTGTGCCACCAGCACCCAGCTAATCATGTTTTATATATTTGTATTATGCACAGGGGCAAGACTGAACTTTTTGTGATGGTGCATAAACTGTATTCCCAACACTGAGGCAGAGACAGCATGAGGACCCACATTAAAAAGACACTCATAGCTGGATGTGATGGCACACGCCTCTAATTCCAGGAGACAGGAGGATCTGAATTTAAGGCCAGCCTGGTCTACAGACAGCCAGAACTACAGAGAAACCCTATCTCATGAAAACAAATAATAAAAATTAAGCCCAGTGGTGGTGCCTTATGCCTTTAATCCCAGCACTTGGAAGGCAGAGGCAGGGGGAATTTCTGAGTTCAAGGCCAGTCTGGTCTACAGATCAAGTTCCAGGACAGCCAGGGAAGGCTACACAAAGAAACCCTGTCTCAAAAAGAAAAAAAGAAATTAAAGCTAGTCATAGGCCAACAAGATGGCTTAGCAAATAAGAGCTTGCCTTTCAAGCTTAGCAATCCAAGTTTGATCCCCAGAGTCCACCTCAAGGTGCAAGGATAAAAGCACTAAATTGTCTTCTGACGTGTGGTGCCCTGTGCACCATTCATGGACACAACTGTAACTCCCAGCACTGAGGTGTGCAGAGACAAGAATTTGGGGCTGGCTGCCTTCCAACGTAACTCCAGGTTTAACGAGACCCTGTCTTAAATATAGAGCAGGACACCAGACATCCTTCCCCCCCCCCCCCCCCCCCCCCGGACCTGAGGACCGAACCCAGGGCCTTGTGCTTGGCAGGCAAGAGCTCTACCACTGAGCTAAATCCCCAATTTTTTTTAAAAAAGGGCAAATTTCATTTATACCCCAATAAATCTCGAGGAAAAGCTGGGCAGTGGTGGTGCTCACCTTTAATCCCAGCACTAGTGAGGCAGAAGCAGGTGCATCTCAGTGAGTGCTGGGATTAAAGGCCCGGCTTGGTAAAAACTTTTTTTTTTTTTTTGGTTTTTCGAGGCAGGGTTTCTCTGTAGCTTTGTGCCTTTCCTGGGACTCACTTGGTAGCCCAGGCTGGCCTCGAACTCACAGAGATCCGCCTGCCTCTGCCTCCCGAGTGCTGGGATTAAAGGCGTGTGCCACCACCTTTAATGCCACAGCAGCAGGAAGCCCCAGCTGAGAGCTGGACTGCTGGGAGACTGTCACTGTTTCACAGGTCAGATGAACAGAACATCCTTTCTACCTACTGAGTGCTCACTGCACACAGGACCCACTCGCATCCTCTGACTCACTTCACTCTGACGAGGAGGGTAACTGAAGAGTGCGGAATCTGAGTCCACGGACTGGGACCTGGTAAGACAGCCCCCACCTCAGGCAGAGGCTCCACACATCCGACATGTCAGCTGGTCAGAATGACACTGCAGTCATTCATCCTCACCCTAAGGGAATTAACTGGAGGTCCTCTACAACCCCCCAGCCCCGTCTTTCCTGCTTCACCCCTCTTGGTACCCAGATGGTCCTGTGAACAGTTTTGAAGCCTGAATTCTTCCAGGCAGAAGACACATTTTTTAGATACAAAGGAAAATTTAGACCTGAAGTCAGCAAGCTAGAAACTCAACGCTCCATTCCCCACGTGTCTAGCCTGACAAGCACCCCCTTCAGATGAACAAGCCCAACATTAACAAGAATTTGATGGAACAGCTCAGTGAGCTACACAATAGGAGGCCCAGTGGAGATGGTTGAAAAAGTCAGCGGACTCTTTATTGCTTCTGGGGTGTAGGGCTCAGGAGCTCTTGGTGGGACGGGTCCGTTTCCTCTTCACCACCACGGGCTTCTGGCTTCGCAGGATGGCACTGGCCCTGCGGATGGCCGCCTGAGGACAGGAGAGGGAACTTAGCTCACCAACTCAAAGACACTTACTGCTGCCTGCCTCCCTAAGGCCTACAGGGAGGCTGCCCAAGAGCTGGGGAAACCAGAGGATTCTCCAGTCTAGTTCCAGCTAAGCAGAGTCAAGTATCCAGGCCTGCATCAGTCCCTCTGGGGCAGTACCCGCTGCCCTCCTGCCTTAAAGATTCATCCATCACTCACCATGCGCAGATCGGGGCGGTACTTGTTCTTTCGGATCATGTGCCTGATGCTGCTGAGGGTGGCCCGTGCATTCTTGTTGATGGTGGTCCTTACGTAAGAAGTGGCTGGTTTTCGCTGACCTGGTACGGGGAGCCTAGGAATCAGTCCACCTGTGTGGGCCCTTCAGAATATCTCCCATATGGGAACACAGATCCTCACCCAAGAACCTGCTCACCCTTACCCAGCTGTCTTTCCACCTGTCCATTCAGCACACCCACTAGGTGTCAGTCTCCACCAAAGCCCGTGGAAAACCCATTCCTCTCTTTAAAAAGTCCCCTCAGTGAAGCACGGAGTTTATCCAGTTCTGACTTACACTGCGGGCAAGACAGGGTAAGGGCGGGGGCTTCCCTGGCCAGCACTCAACGCCAGGGACACAGTGAGCCCTGGCAAGGAGACCTCTTGGCTGCAAAGGCTCACCCGATCTGCGTTTCATGACCACCACGACCCCTTTGCCGTCGGCCGCGGGCTCCACTCCCACAGTCTTGCGGTGAATCAGTCCGTTGTAGCGGAAGGAGTTGCGGGCCTTCAGATTATTGGGTTCCTGGAGAGGTGCAGGGGGGGATGCTGCATTGAGTCCGGGAGACACGCGAAGGTGCCACAACCACGGGTCCCGGGGCGCCCCTCCCACGCGGGCCCCACTTACAGTGCTGTACGTCTGCTTATTCCTCTTGATGAGGAAACTGGAGCAGTTCCGAACGACCATCCATTGCAGATGCGCAGACATGGCGGCGGCTGCGGAGAAACGCGCACGTGAAAGACGTTAAGCAGAGAAGCAAGCGAGGCTCTGACGCCTAGGTAAAGGGGAACGCCGTCGGGGAACAACGAGCAAGGGCTCCGTCGGCCGGGAACCAGTGACCAAAGGAGGCAGGCCGAACTAAGGCGGCTGCGACGGAAAGGTGTGGGGGAAGGGAAAATATGGCTCTACTTCCGGTGGCGATGAGGGCTGCAAATGGCACTTGGGCACAAAGAGAGAAAAAAAGACTGGGACCGAGGCGGCGGGCGCGAGATGGCGGCCACGAGGGACGACGAGACGACTCGCACTCACCTCCTCTCCCTACGGCGGCCGGAGACGGAAAGAGGAGCGCTAGGGGCGGGCCGACGCCTTTAAGATGGCAACGCATTTCCGCTTCCTCCCTGGGCGCTCCCGAAGTCGGCCACCCAGCTTCCTCCCGTCCCTGGGTTCCGCCTCCGAGGCGTTTCGACGGTCTCTTCGCGTACCGCTCGGGAACCTTCGGAAATCTTCGGCTGGAGATCCGGAGGCGAGTTCTCGCGGTGGAACCTTGCCGCGCCGTGGGCGCTCGGGAAGTTTTCGGAAGTCGGTGTCCGGCTTTCCGAGAGCTTCCGAAAGCAGAGGCACCGAGACCGTGTTCTGGTGTGTTCAAGTAGCCCTTGTCACATGGCGGGCACTAAGTAAACTTTTCAAAAAAGACTATTGCTCTCTTGTCTGACTTTTTTTGTTTTTTTTTTGTTTGTTTGTTTTGTTTTGTTTTTTTGGTTTTTCGAGACAGGGTTTCTCTGTGTAGCTTTGCGCCTTTCCTGGATCTCGCTCTGTAGCCCAGGCTGGCCTCGAACTCACAGAGATCCGCCTGGCTCTGCCTCCCGAGTGCTGGGATTAAAGGCGTGCGCCACCACCGCCCGGCGTGCATTGGTGTTTTACGTGTGTGTGTGTGTGTGTGTGTGTGTGTGTGTCAGATCCCCTGAAACTGGAGTTAGAGACAGTTGTGAGCTGCCATGTAGATGCTGGAAATTGAACCTGGGTCCTCTGCAAGACTAGCAAGTGCTCTTAACCGTCACGACTTGATCTTTCAAAGGGCGCATGGACTGTTTTAAGCATTGATGTGGCATGGAGTCTTCATAATCACTGAACTCTCTCCCACGAGAGCACCAGGGCCCAGTGGACCATGCTCAAACCTCTCCAGAAATACGCTGGTGGGGCTGCCACCTTCACTTTATTCTCTCATGCCTGGTTCAGTCTGTGCAGAAATACTCCATATATGTCCTCAGCACATCTGGCCAATTCCGGCAGGCCACTGGCAATTTGCTCCACAGTCTTTCTTAATGTTTTGTTAGCATTTATAATTATGCATAACATGGGTTTAAATGACATTTTCATATGTGTATATGTGTGTATATACTGCATTTTGATCATATCCACACACTGCAGTTAATCTGCATATGTGTGCGTCCCAGTGAGTTTCCTTGGTGTTGATTACAGGCTCATGGATGGGAGTTTGTTTACAGGAGCAAGTGCATTTTACCAGTGGCTACATCACTAAAGAAAATGTAACTTCCTCCTCCATCATCCTGAGCCTTCTTCAACTGGGAGAACCCAGACAGAACTGTCTCGAAGTTTCCCACTCCGGGGAGCAGATGTGTGGAAGATGTTGGTTCTGCTTAGTGTTCCACATAGGTCGGCCCAGACGTTTGCCCGGGCTGTGCTGCCTTCCACCTCTAGAGTGCCCTGGTCATATCTGTTAAAGTTCTCTTGAAGTCAAAGCCATCTTCATAGACCAGCTTCCACAGCAGGAAAGGATTTTTTCTAGAAGAATCTGTCAATAAGAAAGCCACAGTTTCACCGGGTGGTGAAGGCAGAGGCAGGCAGATCTCTGAGTTCGAGGCCAGCATGGTTTACAGAGCGAGTTCCAGGACAGCCAGGGCAACACATAGAAACACTATCTCAAAAAACAAAACAAAACAGCCAGTTTTTATGCCACCTCCTTTGGACACCTTTCCTGGGAATTCCGGGAATTGTGACTAGGAACTACTTGAGGGCAGGGATTTTGTCAGGGTCACATCTGACTAGCACAGCCCTGACCTGGGTGTACTGTGGGTCAGATGGTGTCAGTCAGCACCTGAAAGATGGGTTCATTTTCCCACCCTGGGTTCACAAGGCCCTGCTGCGCACACAGGAGATCCCAAAAGAGCAAGAGAGTTTCAGGGCTTTGGCTGCTGCTCTTGTGCCCGAGAGAATGTTTTTGTGCTGTGCACAGCATGGAACCATGCTAGGCAAGTATACAAGCACAACGGTGTCCCGCGTGCACTCTCCCAAGTGAGCTACATCCCCAGCCTGCCCAGCGATTGTTTCTGATCCCCATTTGGGTTCATCATGGGCCCGATGGCACAGGAGGCGGGCACTTAAATAGATACAACATCTAGCTGACTTACACCACCATCAGGTTCGACCCTAATCACCTGGCGCTCCTGAACGGGCAGGATCGTGCGCCGCTGCCCCCTCCCAGACCTCTGAGCCACACAGGGCTTCACCCGGGCCACCAAGTCCAGGCTGTGAGCAGCTCCAGTCGGGCTCAGGTGACCATACAGGCGCTGGGCACACCTGGCGCAGGGCCCTGACCCCGCCCCGGGCAGCCGCACCCCGGGACGCTCTCGGGGAGCAGGCGGCGGCGGCGGCGGCGGGCCACCGAGGGCCATGGCGGCGGTGTCACCGGTGTGCGGCTCCCAGGCGTCCCCGGCCGGCGCCTCGTCCCCACCCGCGCCCGCCCCGGCTCCGGCGGCCGGCCTGGGCCGCTGCCGCATGGCGCTGCTGCTGGCGGTGGCCTTGGACGTGGCGGGCATGGCGGCGCTGCTGACCGGCGTGTTTGCGCAGTTGCAGGTGCGCGGCCGCGACTTCGGGGACCTGCTCATCTACTCCGGGGCGCTGCTGGTCTTCCTGAGCCTGCTGGGCTGGATCCTCTGGTACACCGGCAACATCGAGATCTCCCGCCAGGAGCTGGAGCGCGACTACGGCCTGCGGCCCTCGGCGATCGCCCGCCTGGCCCGCAAGCTGTCCCGCCGCTGGTCGGCGCCCGCCGCCGCCAACCCCCGCGCGGCCCCGGGTGCCCGCGCCGCGCGCCGAGCGCCCCGCGCGCCCCAGGCGTCCGCCTCCGGCTCCCGCCGCGTGCGTCTGCAGCTCGCCACGCTGGAGGCGGGGCCCGGAGCGGCGGGCGCGGGCAGCGAGTGAGCCCCAGGTGAGGACGCGGAGAAAGAGTGAGAGGTGGTGGGGAGACCCGGGGGGGGGGGGGGTGAGTCAGAGATAGCAGAGACGCTGCAGGATGGGTGGGACGAGGTTCGGCCTCCAGGCGCACCCTCTCTCTCTGCCCCACGTGCACTCACTAGGCCTCATCCCATCCCCTCTCTGTACCCAGTTCCCCGAGTTCATTACTGTTACTGTACAGTAAGCCCCGGAGGTAGGTGCCATGCTTGTCTGGACCACATAATGTGCAGGCGGAAGCGTGCCATGTGTCCAGACAGGCTGTCCTAATGAGAAGGCAGGGGCGAAGGAACACTGGGCACATGGGCGAGGGGAATCACCCTCAATTCCTTCTCTTTCTCTGTTGTTGTTCGAGACAAGATCTCACTATGTAGCTCTGGCTGTCCTGGAACTTGATATGTAGACCAGGCTGGGCTCGAATTCAGAGAGTTCGGCCTGCCTCTGCCTCCTGAGTGCTGGGATTAAAGGCCTGTGCCACCACTCCCGGAGTGGAGTTATAGGCAGTTTTGAACCCCTGCCATGGGTGTTGGCAACTGAACTTGGGTTCTCTCTCTTTCCCTCCCTCTCTCTCCTAAAAAACTCTTAACCACGCCCCCAAATTTTATTTTTAAATTATCAAACTCAGGTCATCATAAGCACCTTTACCCAATGAGCTACCTTGCCTGGCCGTTGTGTTCCCCCTCCCTTTTTAAAGATTTACTTATTTTTAATGCGCATTGGTGTTATGCGCATTGCCTGCACTATGTCTGTGTGAGGATGCCAGATCCCCTGGAACTGGAGTGAGCCATGTGAGGGCTGGGAATTGAACTCAGGTCCTTTGGAAGAACAGCCAGTGCTCTCAACCGCTAAGCCATCACTTCAGCCCTGATATTCCCTTTCTTAAACACACACACTTCTTCAGCTTTCCGGCATCTGCTCAAAGACTGGCTAGGGCTCTCTCTTGCCCTCTTATTAGACCCAGGCCACTTGCCAATGTGTGGAACTTTTGTAGTTCAGGTTCTTTCACACTGTTTGTTTGTTTCTGTTTTTTTGAGATGGGTCTCTCTGTGCAATCCTGGCTGTCCTAGAACTCACTCTGTAGACCCGGCTGGCCTCGAACTCAGAACTCACAGATCCGCCTGCCTCTGCCTCCCAAGTGCTGGGGTTAAAAGTGTGCACCACCACCACCACCACCACCGTTTATCTGCACTTGTATCTCTCAGACCACAGACAGACAGATGTCCTTTATAACCAGGAGGGCCCTTGCTGTCTGCCAGCCAGCCAGGAAACTTGCATGTTCTTTAGGCATCAGCTCATGCCTCTGCCCGCCTCTGAGTATTCATATTGTCTGAGCCGATCCTGTGCCCGCTTGGATAGCCATAAAGTATGTCTCTGTGAGCTGGTTCTCACACCTGACAGGAAGCCCTGTACAGGGAAAGCCCGAGTCTTTGGTGTCTTTTGTTCCTAACACTACCCAGCAAAAACTGTGAACTCAGGAAAGGTTGAGAATGGGTAGGCGAGTGGAAGGATGGATCAATAAGTAGATGGTGGATGGAGGATGGATAAAGTGTGTTACAAGATGAATGGAAGATGGGTAGATGGATGGATGCATGCGTTTTAGTTGACAGATGGGTAGATGGAGCATGGATGAGTTGGCTGATGGATGGGGTGGTTTGGAATGGTTTATAGAAGAGTTGGTTGATGAATTGGGTGCATGGGAGCAGAGGAATTAATGAATAGATTCACTGACAGATGAGTAGAATGGCACGTAGCTGGTTTCATAGGACCGATGGGTAGGTAGATGAATGAGTTATGGTTTTATTTTGTGTTTGAGATGGAGTCTTGCTGTGTACCCCAGGTTCACAATGTGTGGTCTTCCTGCTTCAACCTCAGATTAGTTCATAGGTAGATGTAATGGGTGAATGGGGGCGTGAATAGGTAGGGTTGGATGAAGAGAAGTGGTTGGATGGATAGTTTGGGCAGGTAGATACGTGAAAAAATGGATGGGTTTGTGGGCGGATGGGAATGACTGAATCCATTTCCTAGGTGGGGTTTCTGTACAAGAATTAAACCCTAAAACCTTCTGTGTATGCCTGTGAGCCTGTGTGTACCTGTGAGCCTGTGTGTACCTGTGAACCTGTGTGTGTGTGTGTGTGTGTGTGTGTGTGTGTGTGTGTGAACTCTAGTGAGCGTACCATAGTGCATCTGTGAAAGTCAGAGGACAACTTTCACACATGGGCTCTCTCCTTCCACCACAGAGTTTAGGTTGTCAGGGTTATATGGCAAGTGCTTTTACCCCCTAAGACACTCTTATTTTTCTCCTGGGCATCCAGAGTATTGTTAATTCTATTCTGTGCTTTGTGAGAGCTAAGAAGTGGATTCTGTGTTATAGGGTTCAAATGAGGGAAGTGGTTCAAGAATGAACGGCCAGGGCTGGAGGTGTGGCTCAGTTGTAGAGAATGTCCCCAGCATGCACGACCCCGGGTGCAGTTCCCAGCACCGCATGAAACCAGACATGCTCGGTAATCCCCATAATCCCAGCACTCAGGCAATCACGGGACGCTCAAGATCAGCCTAATGTTCATAGTGGGTTCTAGGCTAGCCAGGACTGTAATAGTGAGATGGCTTCAAAACACCAAAACAGAGGCTGGAGAGATGGTTCAGAGGTTAAGAACACCGGCTGCTCTTGCAGAGGACCTGAGTTTCATTCCCAGCACCCACATGGCGGCTCCCAAGTGTCTGCAACTCCAATTCCAGATCTCATGCCTTCTTCTGGCCTCTTCTTGAGGCCCCAGGCACACATGTGGTGCACAGACATACAAGCAGGCAAGACATTCATACACATAAAATAAAAAATAAATCTTAAAACATACTCACACATCGCCGGGCGGTGGTGGCGCACGCCTTTAATCCCAGCACTCGGGAGGCAGAGCCAGGCGGATCTCTGTGAGTTCGAGGCCAGCCTGGGCTACCAAGTGAGTTCCAGGAAAGGCGCAAAGCTACACAGAGAAACCCTGTCTCGAAAAACAAAACAAAACAAAAAAAAACAAAAAAAAACCCCAAAAAAACAAAAACAAAAAAGCCCACACAATATTTAAAGACTGAACAACTATGCATATGTGAAGCATGAACCAATGTTGGATTACAACATTTGACATATGCCAAAACAGCCATCTGTGGTTAAAATGGCTCTTGACGATCTTAACGTTACTCGGAAGTGTGCATTTGGGTAGACCTCAAAGAACTTGAATTTTGACACAAGGGCATGCTCTAGTAATGCCGCCTTCCCCGGGACCAAAATTCACACATGGGCAAATCTTCTCCTCCTCCTCCTCCTCCTCCTCCTCCTCTTCCTCCCCCTTCCCTTCCTCCTCCCTGCCTCTTCCCCCTCCTTTTCCTCCTCTTCCCTCTCCTCCCCTCCCTCCCCTTCCTCCCCCTTCTCTTCCTCTTCCTCCTCCCCTTCCTCTTCCTCCTCCCCCTCCTCCTCCCCCTCCTGTTCCTCCTCCCCCTTCTCCTCTCCCTCCTCCCCCCTCCCCCTCCTCCCCCTCCTCCCCCTGACTCCCCTTTCCTAACATGGTCTCATTATATAACATAGGCTGGCCTTTAATATGTGGTACTCTCCTGTCTCCTACATGCTGGGGTTACAGTTTGAGCCACCTCATCTGGCTTGGTTCTTTTCGGCTTGGTTTCCAGTTTGTTTTTGATTACACGTATTTATGTTGGCTCTGTGTGCATCAGTGTGCTGTGGGGTGCATGTAGAGAGCAGAGGATAACCAGCAGGAGCGGGGTCTCCCCTTCCACCACAGGGGTCCAGGGGAGCAAGCAGGAGTTCAGGCTTGGTAGCAAGCAACCTTACCTAGCTCTCCAGCCCCTTGGCTCGACTTTTTTTGCGACAGGATCTCACAGTCTGTAGCCCAGGCTGGCCTCAAACTCTGCATTGCAGAGTGGCCTTGAAGATCCTCTTTCCCAGCCTTGCAGGTGTTGGGATTCCCTCAGCTGTTTCTCTGTCCTCCCCTGTTTTCTCCAGCTCTGTTCCTCCCCCCCCCCCCACTGTGCCTCTCCTCTGTTTCCTGCCACAGACTCACCTGTCTCAGTGGATTCTGATGAGTGAAAGGCACACACACTTGTGCACACACACGCACTCCTGGGCTCTGCAGCAGATGGAGGGAGGGGGCTAGGTGAACTTGGGTGCCCATCAGTGAGTCAGGGGCTCCCTGGCCTTTCCTGGACGGGGACCTCAGAAGAGGACAAAGAGGAGCAATCCTAACTGCTCACTAACCCCACCTTCCCTTCCCACAGACAACCTCATCCCCCTGGACCTGACGGAGATGCGCAGCTGCCCTGTACATCACCCGGCCACCAGGATACCCACCTGTCCCCTCACTTGGATAAATGTCTCGGTTTTGGAGCACTGTCTGCCTGTCTGGTTAAGGGCCTGAACTGGTGAAGGAGATTGATCCAAACTTCCTGCCAGACCAGGCCACCTTTGATCTTGGAGGCCCTTGAGCCCCTGGGGATATAGGATCCCAACTTCTCACTGGCCCTTCACCAGGGGCACCAGGGAGGTGAGAGGCTCTTGAGTGCAGACCCACCCACCCAGCCCAGACTTCCATTAGGGTAGTAGTTTGATCTTCCAAGAAGAGCACACACGGGGAGTCTACTGAACTTGCAAGATGTTTACTGTGGGGGTGGTCCTTGTGGAGGGTAGCATCGATGCAGGATGCTTGCAAGACTTGGAGAGAAAGGGCTGATTGGCAGGCTGAGTCTCAGTGCAGACGACACAAGGAAAGGGCGTGGCCAGTGGGGACTCTCCGGGACAGTGCAAGTCCTTGCTGGACGATGCCCGATGCCCGTTACTCTCTTTATTTTTAATGTGCATTAGGGTTTCACCATGGGTGTCAGGGCCCCTAGAACTGGAGTTACGGAGAGCTGTGAGCGGCTGTGTGGGTTGCTGGGAGTGGAACCCAGGTCCTCCGGAAGTGCGGTTAGTGCTCTTAACCTGTCTCCAGCCCCAAGCCCATACTTGGTTCTGTACCCACTCAGGCATTGGTGCTGGGGTGGGGGTGGGGAGGGTGGGCAAGAGAAGTGTGAGAGCAGAGGCTTAGTCAGTCAGAGGTGCTCCCTGAAATAGGACCGCTCAGGACACATTCCCATGGATATGTGTGTCCCTGGTCCCCCAAGCCCCCCTATTGCAAGCTCACTTCCTTATAGTTCCCACAAGCTCCCTCATCACCCAGAACTACCTCCGGTCCACTTCCACAACTCAGACCCACGACAGGTGCCCCCAGAACTCACTCAGACCAGAGCTTCCCTACACTTAGTTCACAGCCCCCCAGTCATAACAACCCAGTGCTCCCACTCAGTCCTTACCCCGTGAGCTTTCTCAAGCACACATGCTGCAGGGTTCCCATAAAGCCCCCGGCTCCCCACGGATGTCAAAAGAAGACACACATTTATATGCCATGTCTGTATTGAGGGGTCCTACAGAGTTGCCCCTAATCCTCATCTCCTCCCTCGGTGTCATCTCCGCCTTCTGTAGCTTCCGCTTCAGTGGTCCCTGAGGGCTCTGTCCCCTCCATGGGCACTGAGACAGTCGTGGTAACCGTGGGTGACTTCTTGCTTGATGGTCGGTCCTTAGACAGCAGGGAGACTGTTCGTGACAGGTCGCATTTCCCCTGTAGAAAGTGTGGCAGGTGCAGCATGTCTCGGCGCTTGGCCCACCTGGCGAGGAGAGCGTATACGTGCAGCCTGAACCCCCTGCGCCTTGTGTGGAGAGCCACGCCTGCCGGCTGGACTCCCCCACCCACCGTACTCACCAGAAGAGGCAGATACTGGCGATCAGGAAGAGCAGGCTGCCGCAGGTCCAGCCCAGGGCCCACATGTGCTTCCTGCGCATGTTTTCTAGAAAAAGGGGAGGGGGAAGGTCCAGGGGTCCAGCAGCTGTGCCCCTCGCCCTCTGAAACACCCAGTTCCTCCGGGCCAGGGCCGGGCCACTCACCGTCTGGCCGTTGATGGTAGCACACACCATCGCGATAGCAGCATCGCAGGCGCAGGCAGAGGTTGGGGTTCTCAATCGCCGCCTGACCCCCACAGCTCTCTCGGTCCCACACATCTCCCTCACAACCTGAGGGTCGCCACAGTAGGCGTTAAGCAGCAGAACTGGCCCTGAAGGCTACAGACGCAAGGGTGCCAAGGCCAGGCTGTGGGGCTGGGGTGCTGTGTTTGGGGCACTAGTCTGTATGGGACCCATCTCTCCTCCCTCAGACCTGGAAGTTCAGGCTCCATTCCTCCTCCCTCAGACCTGGGCCTCCAGACCCCAGCCCTCTTCCTTCAGAGGGTCCGTACCACAGCCCTCCTCCCTCAAACCGAGGAGTCAAGGCCCCAGCTCTCCTCACTCAGACTTCAGACCTAGGGTTCTAGGCCCCAACCTTCCTTCAGAAGCAGGGATCAAAGCTCTAGCCCTCCTCCTTTATAATCAGAGTTTTCAGGCTCTTCATCTCCTCCCTCAGACCTAGAGGTTGAGTGTCCTGATCTTCTGCCTCAGATCTAGGGGTCCAGGCCTTAGCACACACACCCCCATACCCAGGGTTGAGTTCCCTGACCTCTTTCTTCGTATCTGAAGAGGTCTAATCCTTAGCCCTTCCTCCAGGCCCAGGGATCAGGCTCCAGCTCTCCTCCCTCAGACCCAAGAGTCCAGGCTTCAGTCCTCCTTGAGACCCAGAGGTTAAGGTCCTAGCATTGCCCTCCTAAGACCCAGAGGTTATGTTCCTAGCCCTCCCCCCCTCAGACCCAGGGGCCCACATCCCAGCCCTTCTCCCTCAGTCCCTGCAGTCTTAATTTGGGATACCCTCCCTGGAGCCCCAGGATTTTGTCCCCTGCTTACTTCCATGGATAGAAAAATCCCTGGATTCCATTCGCATCTGTGGGAGAAAAGGGGTGATGTTGGGAGACTGTATGGCAGCCAGGGTGGCCCTGTCCACAGCCCCCTAATGTCCTTCATCAGTACCCTCACCTACTGAGCCCTGCATCAGCAGGAGAAGGCCCAAAGCTGCGATCCCAGACCCCACCATGTTACCTCCCCAGACCTCTGGGGCCTCTATGGAGAGAAACCTTGAAGGACATCACCCTAGCAACAACTGGGCCCCGCCCCAAAGCCTCAGCCCCAGAATTCTTAGTTCTGTTGCCAGGGAGTCCCCTCAGCAAGGGGTTCATAAGGAGGGGTGCCCTGGCCCCATCATTTCTGTCTAGGGAGTAGCTCCCTTAGCATCTATGGAGAAGAGGTGGGTGGGCATTGGGAGATTTCAGATTCAGGGTCTTCTCAGCAAGGGAAGAGGGAAGGAGAAGCCAGGACCAAGCCTGGGGCTAGAGATGTCTCTCCTTTTCCATGGGGTACTTGACAGGGTACAGATCTGGGACAGGGGAGATCTCCGAGCTGCAGAATCCCTCTCTTTCCTAACCCGAAGTCCAAAGAGGCAGCCTCACGTGGCTCAAGTTCAGAAATCCTCATTGCTGGGATGTCCTTTCTTTTAGCAACCAGGAAAACTGGCCCTAGGACGTAGGGTTTCATTGAACCCCATTGTTAGAAAAGGTTTCCCCAGCAACCAGACCAGGAGGAGGAAGGGGCAGTGGGGGCTTGTGGGGTGGCCCTGGGAGTCTCATCTCAGGCTGTACCAGGCCTCTGCAGGACTGACTGGACCATGCCTGGCCCCACGGAGCTTGAGGTGTGGACACTGTTAGAGGCTGTGATGGTGACTCCTGACAAAGAGACTCAGTTTCCCCATCTGTGAATGAGGGAACACAAACTAGGGCGTCTCAAGTTGTTTTCTTTGTGGTTGGTCTATCCAAGTCTTCTGAGGGACCAGGCTTCCAGGAAGACAGATGGAGGCGCGGGGGGGGGGGGCGGGGGGGGGTGGGGCCGTGCTATGTCTCTATTTCCTAGTTCACCTGAGCTCAGTATCCACTTGGCAGAGAGAGAAGGGGACTTGAGTTCCTGAGAGAGGTCTGGACTCAGCCCTGGACTTGTGGAATGGCTGGGGCATGGACCTCTGGATCTGGGGGCAAGGGGGTGGAGGAGGAGGACTGGAAGATAGGACTCCTGGGTCCTGAGGGAGTGACGAGGTCTGGGGAAGGGAACCCTGGGTCTAAGTGGGACCAGGAGTCTAAGGAGGACTAGGTCCTGATCTTTATCTGAGGGAGGAGAAATGGGGATAGCACCCTGGGTCTGAGCAGGGAGAGCTAGATCCTGGACTCCTGAAGCTTGGGGATGGACCCCTGAGTCTAAGCAGGGAGGAGGCTAGATCCTAGACTCCAGGATTTTCAAGAAGGGGGCCTCCCCAAAGTCTGAGAGAGAACTGTTAGGGTCTGGACCCCTGATTCTAAGTAAGTCTGGGCCTCCTGGACTCCAGATCTGAGGGAACAGGGCTGGGACCTGGGTTGTCCATTCTGTGGGAGGGAGGGGTCTGAGTTCAGACCCTATTTCCCAAGAAGCCTACAAGGCTGAATCCCTATCCCTTTCATCCCCGGGTCCTCCAGTAAACATCCTAGAGGGTGCTGAGTGGGCCCTGGGCTGACTCCGTCAGAGATGACACAGGTCCGAGGGGGCTCGGCAGGGGGTATGGGGGTGGGGGTCAGAGGGGTTGTGGGGCTGAGGCCAGGCAGCTGCTGACCGTTTCCTGTGTCAACACCATCTGGACCCACTTCCCAATTCCCTGGATTCCTCAGGGATCAAGGAGGGGGTGGGGGGTGGGGCTGCCTGGCGCTGGACCGCGGATTGGGATTGAGGGGGGTGCACCGTCAAGGCCCTCACCACTAATGACAGGTTTGGGCTGCCTCTGTGGCTGACCTGCCCCGTCACCCCCCCAGAGGCCAGACAGGACCCCCCAGGGACAGACAGACGGACACACACAGCCTGGGATGTGCTGACATCACACCCAGCCAGCACCAGCTCACCCAGGGGCCAGCACACCATCGAGGCCCCCCTGGCTAGACCCTCACATCCTAGGGACATGTCAAATGCCTCTAAACCCTCCGAGGTCCTCTGCTCTCTGCTTCCTCTTTGTTTCTGAGTACTCAAGCTGGTCTCCCGAGCACTGCTCATCTTCTCTTGCATCTGTCTTCTTGTCACGGGACTTTGAGATCCTGTTTGTGTGTGTGTGTTGTTTGTCTCGGTCTTCTGTCATTTGGGGGATTCCCAGAGTCTCCCACCCCGTCTCTCTCTGTCTTTGTCTCATTTCCATAGGACTGGTATTCCTACCCTCACCAAAGGAAGACCCAGGAGTCCCAAGTCCACTACTCAGTCCTTTTGTGGTCACCCTGGGGAAGATGAGTCTTTCCCCACAACCCCCGGGGTGAAGAGTGAGGCAGGACTAAAAACTAGCAAGGGCCCATGACCCAGACCCACAGGCTTCCTCAAGCACAAGGTCCCCCAATTGTTGGACATCAGAATTTTCTTCCACTTATATAAAAATGAGGGTTTAGGACCCTGGGTCTGAGGGAGGAGGGCTGGCTGGAGTCTGTTCTCTAGGTCTGATGGAGGAGGGGTAGGGTCTGTACACTGGGTCTGACGGAGGAGTGTTAGGTACCTGTGACCTTGGGTCTGATGGAGGGGGGCTGGGGGCTGGAGCCCAGGGTCTGAGAGAAGAGTGATAGGGCTTGTACTCTGGGTCTGACAGAGGAGGGATGGGTACCTGTGACCTTGGGTCTGATGGAGGGGGTCTGGGGTCTGGAGCCCAGGGTCTAAGGGAGGAGGGCTAGGGTCTGTACCTGTGTCTGAGTTTAACTCTCTCAGGAGGGTTAAGTACCTGAGACCCTGGGCCTGTGGGGGACAGGCTGGGGTCTGCACCCTGGGTTTGAGGAACGGGGAGGATGGGAAGGTGAGGAGATGGTAGAGTTCTTAAATCTCAGTTGGGGGAAGGGGCTGGCATCTGCAGTCCCTGGTATTGGTCCAGGTCTGGCTGCAAGCCCAGTCCCCTATCCCCTCAGGCCAGTCCATTCCCCAGGCTGGTGGCCTGAGTCACCTTGGCTAGCCCCCATGGTCTGGGGGGGGGGGCGCTACGTCAGCTCTCCCCTCACTGACGCAGCCTTGGGCCCCCCACGCTGACTCAGCCGGAAACAGGCCCCCTGAGGGGCGGAGAGCCCGTGGTCAGAAGCCTGGGTCCCTGCAGGAGCAGGGGCTGAGGAGGGCCCCTGGGGGGCCCCTCAAAGGGGTGGTGTGACAGACCATGAAAGAGAGAGAAAGAGCTCTTACCTGAGGCGATGAGGTCATGTCCCACCATGGGGGGGCTGTGACCTCACCTCCTGGGGGATCTGAGCAGTTCTCCCCCCCCCTTGTGGTGGAAGGTGGGGAGGGGAAGCCTTTGGCTGCCAGTCAGTCCCAGAGCTCGCACCCCCACCCCCCAATCTCCAGCCAATGCTTTAGTCGCAGAGGATGGGCATGGTGGGTCTGCAGAGAGATTTTTTTTTTTTAAGTCCATGTCACTGTCCTATGCTCTGAGCTATCTCATTCTCCTCCTGAGGAGGAGGCTTCTGGAGATGTGTGAGTTCATTTCTTTGTCCCCATCCCTCCCTCGAGGGACTGTGAATTCTGAGCCAAAGGTAGTCGCCCATTGAACACGGTGTGTGGGCCTTGCTTCGGTCTGGTGTATTCTGCCCTTACCTGGATAGACAAATATTATGTCCATCCGCTTCTCTGGATGTGGCTTTGTCTTTGTTTCTAGTACCCACCCACTCCCTTTCGCCACCTTTCCCAGTGACTACCGGTGTCTGGAAAACTGGTAAACCAGGAGTCGTTTGCAAGTAACTCTCACTGTGGCGTTTAGGGATGGGAAGGTATGCGTGTATATGTGGGGTGTACGTGTGTATGTGTGGGCGGGTAGTCGTACCTGTGTGCGCGTGCACAGAGGCCACTCTCGACCTCCCTTGTGCCCTCGAGAAAGGGTCTCACACTGAACGGGGAGCTGGAAGTCAGCAAGCCCGAGCGATCCTGTCGTCCCCACCGACCCAGCCACAGTGCTGCAGATACACGTGTCAGCTTTTTATAGAGGTGCTGGGGATCCGACCCGGGCCGCATGTTCGTGCAGCAAGCGCTTTTACCCACCGGGCCATCCCCTCAGCCCTAGAAGATGATGGTCTTACTCGCCCCATTTACAGATAAGGGGATTGAGGCAGCGTGGGGGTGGAGGTGGTGTGGCAACACAGCCAGAGACCTCTGTGGAGAGCCTCCATGCCTCCTTTTGGTCCTCCCCATCCTGTCTCCTCCGCATCTCATCTAACTTCTGTCTCTCAGGTGACCCCATCTTTGGTCACCCTGCTTTGCCATCTCCATAGGCTTGGTATATTCTTCTGCAGCCTGCTTCTTCTTCTCTCCAGGTCCATGTCCCTCTTCTCCTCAGGGTCTCTGGTTCTTTTTTAAAAAAAAATAGGGTCTCAAGTAGCCCAGGCTGGCTTCAGTCTCACTATGTAGCCAAGGATGACCTTGAACTCCGGAACCACCTGCCTCCACCTCCCAAGTGCAGACACTTGCAGGTGTATACTATCACACCCAGTGCTGGGGATAAAAACCAGGGCCTTTGTGCATGCTAGGCATCACTCCGCCAAATGAGCCACACCCCTCAGCTCCTCAGTTTCCCTATTTCTGCATGTCAGAGACTGGGCATCTATCTATCCTTCTGTCCCCATCTCGGGGCATCTGTGGTCCTCTGTTTCGGAGTCTCCACCTCTGTCCCGGTGTTCTCATCCTTCTTGGTCATTTAGATCCCCCCTCTCACCTCCGTCTCCCCAGGCCCCTCACTGGCCTCTCCGCCTGCCTCCCCATCTCTCCAGAAGTGGTAGTGCTGGTCCATCCAGACCCCCACCCACAGCCCAGGCTCCATGGAGCTCTTGAGCCTTGTGTGTGTGTCCCAGCCCATGGAGGTGGAGGGAGGGGACGCCAATGACCTCACCAGCCCCTCTCAGACCACCCCCCCCCCCTTCACTTTTCAACTTTTCCAACTTTTCCTTCCGTGCCCTCCTCCGAGCAAGGCGGTGTGAGCCCTGCTAGGCAGCCGGCTCGTCTGAATGGAAAAGGCAGGAGGGAGGGTGAGTCAGGATGTGTCAGGCCGCCCTCCCCTGCTGCCTGCCCCCCGCCCGCCCGCCCCGGCCCCCTATATAACCCCCCAGGCGTACACACTCCCTCACTGCCTGGCCCTTGCTGCTCACACTCACATACCTCCCCTCCCCAGGCCGAGGCCCAGCTGACCCCCTGGGATCCCCCGGCAGCGGACAGGGAAGGGTTAAAGGCCCCCCCGGCTCCCTGCCCCCTGCCCTGGGGAACCCCTGGCCTGTGGGGACATGAACTGTAAGTTGGTTCCAGTTCATGGGGTGAGGGGACAGGGTGGAGGGGAAGGAGGAAAGGATCGGGGGGGTGGGGAGGGTGGGAAGTATAGTAGGGAGAGAGGGCAGAAGAGAAGGAGTCACGGGGAGTCCGGCGGAGAGAGAAAGAAGAGTCAGAAAAGTAGGAGTCTGAGAGGAGAGATGGACAGAGAGACAGATAAAACGCGAGTGAAAGAAGCAAGGGACAGCCAGACACTGACAGAGCGGCAGATGCTGGGGGATGACCCTGAAGGGTCCGGGTATCCCAGGGAGTCAGCGGGAAGCGAGGGACAGAGACAACCACCAACTCCCAACAGCGAGGCTCAGGGAGGGAAACTGAGGCAGGGAGTCCCAGATGATGACAGCAAGCCCCAGAGGACGGGGACCAGGCAGGCGAGGCAGGCGAAAGAGGGGTGTGGACAGGGAGCTTAAAGAGCCAGACGGATGCGCACCGGCGAGGGGACGGACGGATGCACCAACAGACGGGCCGAGGAGGGGCTGCGAAGGACTGGCCACAGCCAGAGGGGACCAGGGGGCGGGCTGGGGGTGTGATACAGGAGCTTGGAGGCCCGGGGGGCTCTGATTGGCTGGTTGTCTCGGAGGTGGGCGGAGCAGCTGGGGGATGGGCAGCCGGCAAAGGAGCTGTCCCAAGCCCCTGAGCCCCACACGCTGCCAGCCGGGTCTCCCGCGGCGTGCGTCCCGGAGCGCCTCTCAGGCCAGGTGCGCCCAGGTCCTTCCCGACCCAGCGGTCCAGCTTTCCGCTGCCACCTTCGTGGGCATCCGGGAAGGGGTCCGGGGCGCCTCCCTGGAGAGGAATCGGTGTGTTCGGGTGTCAGCTCCAGTCTCTGGCTCCTTCCCCCCCCCCCCCCCCCCGTTCCCAGGCCGGCTCAGGCTCCCTGGGCAGGGGAGGGGGCAGGTTCTGGCCTGTGCCTCCCCCCTCATGCCCCGCCCCGGGGCCCAGATTCCGGCGTCCGGGGGCGGACGGGAGACGCCCGGCCCGTCTACCCGCCCCGGGCCGCGTCTGCTCCGACGGGCGGGGCAGCCAGAGCCAGGGAGGGAGAGGGAAGCCCGCCCGGGCTCGGGCTTTGCGACCTGCCCCGGGGCGCCCCACCCTGAGACTCAAGACCTCCAGGTCCTCCTCCCTCAGATCCAGGCGTTCAGGCTCCAGCCCTACTCCCTCAGACCCGGGAGTCCAAACCTCAGCTCTCCTCCCTCAGAACCTGGAGTCCAGGCTCCAGCCCTACTCCTTCAGACCTTAGAGTCCAGACCCCATACCTCCTCAGGGTTCTGGGCCCCAGCCTTTCTCCCTCATACCCAGAATCCAGGCTCCATTCCTCCTTCTACAGACTGTAAAGTCCAGACCTCGGTCTTACTCTTTCAAAACCCAAATTCTGGACCCCAGCCTACTTCCCTCAGACCCAGGCAGGTCCTGTACTCTGGCTCTTCCTCCTCAGAGGCAGGAATCTAGAGCCCAGCCCCACTCCCTCGGACCCAGAGTTTGGCCTGATTTCTCGAACCTTCTGTTTCCAGGTGTTTGTCACCTGGTCCTGGTGGTGCTGAGCCTCTGGCCAGATAGAGCCGTTGCCCCTGGGCCACCATCTGGCTCCCCACGAGTCTCTCCAGATCCTCGCGCAGATCTGGACAGCGCTGTCCTCCTGACCCGATCCCTCCTGGCAGACACTCGGCAACTAGCAGCGCAGATGGTAGGTGACTGAAGGGACAGGGCCGGGGCCGCATAGGATGACAGTCACTTCCTTCTCTTGGGCACCCGAAGACCAGGAGGGCTTGGGGTCCCCCTCAACAGCTTCTTTTTCACCAGAGAGACAAATTCCCAGCAGACGGAGACCACAATCTGGACTCCCTACCTACCTTGGCCATGAGCGCTGGGACGTTGGGATCTTTGCAGGTGAGAGCTGGCTGGTCGGGAGGACTGAAAGATTGGTGGCTGAGGGGTACGTGTGCTAACTGTCCCCTGATTTCCATCCCTGGTCCTCAGCTTCCAGGGGTGCTGACAAGGCTTCGAGTAGATTTGATGTCCTACCTCCGGCATGTACAGTGGCTGCGCCGGGCAGGTGGTCCTTCCCTAAAGACTCTGGAGCCAGAGCTGGGTGCCCTGCAAGCCAGGCTGGAGCGACTACTCCGTCGTCTACAGCTCTTGGTATGCTTTGACTCCAAGACCCTTTACCTCCGTTCTGAAACTTTTGACCCCCAAGAAACAGTGGTCTGAGATTTTGATTCTCAGGATCCCAGACAGACTTTGAACACCCAGTGCCCTCGCACCCCCAGATCTGATCCCTGCAAATGAGATATCCATGATCCTATAACCATGAGACCTTGAGGTCCCAAGACCCCAGAATTCTTCAGAGCACCTCTTAACTGACCTCCAAGGCTCCAAGCCATCAGTTCATGATCTTGTGTCCTCTAAACCCCAGCCCCTAACACTATGAGACACCCACCCACCCACCCACACTCACCCCACCAATACTGACAACCTGTCTGAAAGTCTAGACCCTGAATCCCAAGACTTGAGACCCAAGAAACCTACCCTGAGTCCTCCGGATCCAAATCTTCCCATGAGAATTAGAGGCCTAGGCCCTAAGATGCCTAAACACCCCAGATCCCAGCCCTGAGATCCTCATATCTCAAGGACCCAGCCCCGGCCCCTAAGATTCAAGATCCTGACTCATCTGGCCTTGAAACTCACTCTATAAAGCCAGACCTCAAGTACAGACCCTAGCTGAGCTTGGTGGAAGTTGCCTGTAGTCTCGGCCCTCAAGAGGTAGAGGTAGACGTCTGCTACAAGTTTCACGCCAGCCTGGTCTCCTTAGTGAATGCCAGGCTAGCAATGACTACATAGCAAATCTAGGTATGGTAGATCCTTGACTGTAGTCCCAGTATTTGGGAGGTGGTAACGGAAGGGTGAAGAGTTCAAGGTCATCCTCAGCTGTATAGTAAGGTTGGGGCCAGTCTGGGCTATATGAGATCTTGTCTCAAAAATAAGTAAATACTCCAGTCCCGTGTCTCATTTCCAATCTCATGAGGTTGAAAAATATCAAGACTCCAAATTTTACAACCTCAGGCCCAATACTCCAAAAGACTTCAAACTTTGGCCCCTGACTGCAAAGACCTTCAAATCTCAAATTCAAATCTCAAATTCTTGCTCCTAGCCCCAGGCTCTAGATGTGGTCCCTAGACTCCAAGCTCTAAAAGCCCTGACCACCCTTGAGAAGACCCGCCAAGCACCAGGATCACAAACGTCATTCTCTAGCCCCTAACTTGGCCTTGGCCTTTAGGACAGTAACCTTGGTGTGTGTGTGTGTGTGTGTGTGTGTGTGTGTGTGTGTGTGCAAGCCTGAAGGCCAGAAGTCAACAGTGGTCTTCTTCCTCGATTGATTATGTTCTGCTTTTCTTCCTTCCTTCCTTCCTTCCTTCCTTCCTTTCTTTCTTTCTTTCTTCCTTCCTTCCTTTCTTTTTCTTTTCAGTTTTTTGAGACAAGGTTTCTCTGTGTAGCTTTGGAGCCTGTCCTGGAACTCGCTCTATAGACCAGGCTGGCCTCCAAGTCACAGAGATCTGTCTGCTTCTGCCTCCCAAGTGCTAGGATTAAAAGCATGTACCACCACCACCCCCTAGCTATGAGCAAGGTTTCTTGTAGCCCAAATTGCCTTTCCTATGAAGCCTTGAACTCCTGATCCTTCTACCTCCACCTCTGGAGTGCTGGGATTACAGATGTGAACCACCGTGTCCAACCCAGCTTCAGTTTTCGGAAACCCAAGACCCTGAGGAGATCCTAGACGGAACCCCCTTGCCTTTTGCTAATTTTGTTTCCCTCTTTAACAGACGTCTCGCCTGGCTTTGCCCCAGGCAACCCCAGACCAACCCACAGTCCCCTTGGGCCCTCCTGCCTCCGCCTGGGGAAGCGTCCGGGCTGCTCATGCCATCTTAGGCGGGCTGCACCTGACCTTGGACTGGGCTGTGCGGGGTCTGCTGCTGTTAAAGACTCGGCTGTGACGCGGGACTGAAAGCCACCACCGACATCATCTTTCAAAGCCACATCTTATTTATTTATTTATTTTGGTACTGGGGGGCGGGGCGCATGATGATCAGGGGCATGCCACACCCCACACAACCCGACACCCAGCTAGATACACTTCCTCCAGGAGACCTGGGTGGGGGGTGGGGTCACCTGTGTGGCTTATTTATACTTATTTATTTAAGGAATTGGGGGTGGGTGGGGACAGGTGGATCTGAGACCTCGAAGAACAAGGAACTGAGATCCTGGATTCTCGGGTCCCTATGAAATCTATCCACAGTGTCTTCCTCGCTCCCTCCATTATTTATTAAACAATTACTTTTTATGTTAAGGGGTTTTATACCAAAATGTGAGAAGTTTTTGTGAGACAGAAAAGGGGATGATTTAAATACATATCTACTTAGAGGTGAATAGCAGAGGGATGCCTAAATGATCTGAGTCTGACCTGGTGCCTCGCACTTCAGAGCTCCTCAACAGACATTTAACAGACGGTTCCAGAACATCGCCTTAGAACTAAAGGCACCTGCGTGGTACAGAGCGGCAAAGCTCTCAAGGTTGTTCCTTCCGGCGACATTCTTGCTAGGTTCACTGGTGGGAGCTGGATGAACAAAAAGGGAGACATCCGTGTGATGGAATACTAACCGGCCGGTCTAAAGAATCCAGGCAAAGACTGCTCATGACGTTGAGCGGCCCTGCCACGTGACAGCGGCAGATGGCAGAGCCACTCTTTCTATACCCAAGTATGGATTTTTTTTTTTTTCAAAATGGAAACACCAAAACGTCGGCAATGACTGTCTCAGGGTTGAAAACGTAAGATGGGGCTGTGGGGTGACTTGTGTGTGTGTGTGTTTGTGCGCGCGTGTGCTTGTATTTTCCAGAGTTTTTACCATGACTGTATTTTGCATGACACATTTAAAGACAACAATAAACACTATTTTTAGAATGACAGAATATCAGTCTCTGTCTCACCCCACCGTACACACGCCACAAGAAAAAAAGGCCTCAGAAGGAAGCAAGAAACATGGTGACTGGAGCCCATGTTCTGGGCTATGCTCAGCCTGAATTTTGTTTTTGTTTTTTTAACTTTAACAATTATCTCAGCCAGGCAGTGGTGGCACAAGCCTTTAATCCCAGCACCCAGGAGGCAGAGGCAGGTGAATCTCTGTGAGTTTGAGGCCAGCCTGGTCTACAGAGCGAGATCCAGGACAGGCACCAAAGCTACACAGACAAACGCTGTCTCAAAAACAATTGTCCCAGATCCTCAAAACGTGACTTGTTTTTATAAAAGAGGTAAACTGAGGCTCAAATGAGAGGAGTTGATTTCTGTAGGGGTCTTTTTGTTTGTTTTGAATTTTGCCATGAGGCTCTGGCTGGCCTGGACCTCACAGAGATCTGCTTGCCTCTGCCTCCTGAGTGCTGGGACAGAAGATGTATGTCACCGTGCCCAGCTTATTGCTGTTGTGGTCACACAGGGAGTTGGCCTTCCGTCATTATGGCGCTGGGATTGAACTCAGGACCTTGTGCATGCTAGGCAATTTCTTTACCACTTAACTACATCCCCAAGCCCTGGATTTACTTTCATTATTCATCATGTATTTATTATCTATTTTATTTATTTATTTTGAGCCGGGATATTGTTATGTAGTCTAGGCTGGCCTCAAACTTACAGTCTGGGAATACAGTTTGTAGTCACCCTACTCAGCTATGATGGCCCTTTACAATCCAGTGTTCAGAGAAGGTCACACATACACACACACACACACACACACACACACACACACACACACACACACACCATTGAGAAACTGAGGCTTAGCATGGCATTAGATCTTGCTGAGCATCAGGAGGAGGGCCATTAGCAGAGCTTGGCTTGTGACTCAAGTCTTTGGGTTAATGGGCCCCGTATAGGTACTAACACAGACCCCTATGGTGGTGGGGTCTGTGTCACCACAAGTTTGGGTCCAGGAGAGGGGGTGTTCTGATGGAGCTCTGAGTCACCTATCCCAGCTCTCAAGACTCCAGGCCATATTCCAGAAGGATGAGGCCTCTGGACAGTTCCCAGGAAGCAGGCCCTTGGTGTCTAGTGAGGTCACAAAGCCCCTATCAAAGGCTCCTCCCACGGCCTAGAGTTGACTACCTCTCTGCAGGGCCATGGCCATACCAGAGTCTCTCAGCCCTGGGGACACTCCACTTTCTGTCACGGCTGAGCTCCTGACATCTTTGAAGCCCAAGGGTCCAAGGCTGGTGGGCTGGGGTGGGGGTCAGGGCTCCACCTGGGTCCTGGACCCCTGAATCTGTTCACCCCCACCCGCTGTTCTGACAACCACTATGAAACGACTGTTTAAAATTCGGCGTACTCAGGCTCCCCAGGAACCCCAGAAGTGGGTCCCCATCCTTGGGGACCTACAGAAGACCCTCCAGAAGGGCGAGTACCTGCCCCTCCGCCCGCTGCCCATGTTCGAGAGTAACTTTGTCCAGGTCCCCAGCTCCCTGTGCCCCGGGGAAATGGGAGAGGAGGGCTGAGACACAGGAAGAGAGGGACTCCCCCTGCCCTCCAGGACTGAGTGGGTTGAATGGGATTTGGAATTTGAACTTCTGTAGGTAGGAAGTGGGTTTGAAAAGGAGGCGCTCAGGTGAGGGGATGCTGGAGGCATGTTGGAGAAAGGACTGATCCCAGCCCTGCTCCCTGGCTGCCCCAGGTGACCAATCACGGGGCTCCTGCGTTAGTGCACCACAAAACCAACAAGCTGACTATGGGTGTAGCGGCGTCCTTGCCCGGTCTAGTGCTGCCCGACATTCTGTTGCTTGCTCGACCCCCCGAGGACAGGGATTGCTCCAATCTCAACCTGACCAGGTACGTTCCTCCTCGTTTCTCAAGCTCTGACCCCAGCTCGCTCCGCTTCATCTTACCTGGGGCATTAGCTACCTGGGAGGTCTCCCACCTCCCGCAGGATGATCCCTCTAGACCTTGCCCACCTCTATGTCCACGATCTGCCCACCTGGCGCCTGAAGCTGCGGCTAATCACCGGCCGCTACTACTACCTGGAATTGGATGCCCCTGACCATGAGCTGGGCTTCTTGTTTGATCGCTGGCTTCGCCTCATCAACCTGCTTCATGAGCCTACCATATCTTGGGCACCCAGGACCATGAGCATGCCCACCCTGCACACGACCCAAGATGGAGTGCCAGCCTCCACCTGGCGCCTTCAGGTGGGGATTCAATAAGGCAGGCTTCGAGACTACTGTCCTGATTCCACAGAGAACGGAGGACCCACAGCCCAAAGCCTAGGGGGCCCAGGAAAAAGAGCTGGGTTCCTAGAATGCTGGGTCTGAAAGGAGGGTCTGACCTCATGAGACCAAGGAAGGAAAGCTAGGGATGAAGTTGCTGGCTGGGTAGGTAACAGACAGAAGCCACGGGGCAGGAGAAATAGCTCAGTTGATAAAGAGATTGCCTTGGGAGTATGAGGACCTGAGTTCAACGCCCTCAGAACCCACATAAAAAGGCTGGGTGTAGCAGTACATGCTTGTCATCCCAGTGCTGCAGAGGCAAAGACAGATGGATCCCTGGCCTTGCTTGACCTACTTGGTAGATTCCAGCCAGTGAGAATGACACATGAGGATGTCCTCGGGCCTCCACATGCACACACCTGCACGCACGCGCGCGCGCGCGCACACACACACACACACACACACACACACACACGCACACACACACACACACACACACCAAAAGAAGTGTCCAAGCGCCCAGGCACAGTGACACATACCTGTACTCTCCACAGTTGGGAGATGAAGGTAGGAGGCTCATTACAAATTTGAAGCTATAGCCAGGCAGGGATGGTGCACGCCTTTAAGCCCAGCACTCGGGAGGCAGATCCAGGTGGATCTCTGTGAGTTCAAGGGCAGCCTGGGCTACAGAGTGAGTTCCAGGACAGCCAAGGCTGCACAGAGAAACCCTGTCTCGAAAAACCAAGACCAAAACAAAGCAACCACAACAAAGCACATCTGAGGTTTACACCCTCAGCTCACTAGCCTGTTCCTACTCTTTTTTTGTGTATGTGTGTGAGCATGAGTGCACACTTGGGTGTTGGCTCTTGCCTACCATGTGGAGGATCCTGGGGATCAAACTCAGGTCATGAGGCTCAGCAGCAAGTGTCTTTACTTGGTGTGTCTCTTGGCCTGCCCTTGCCTCTACTTTCCATTTTCGGGAGTGATTTATTTCTTCATTCTTCTTCCTTTTGGTTTTTTGAGACAGGGTTTCTCTGTGTAGCCCTGGCTGTCCTGGATCTCGCTCTGTAGACCAGGCTGGCCTCAAACTCACAGAGATCCGCCTGCCTCTGCCTCTGGAGTGCTGGGATTAAAGGCGTGCGCCACCACCACCCCTGTAATGTAAAAGAATTTCCAATTCTTTAAAAATAATAAAAAAAAAAAGGTTTGGTGGCTCATGCTTGTGATTCCTAAGACTTGGGAGGCCAAAGCCGGGGGTGGGGGAGGATTGCGATGAATTTGAGACCAGCCTGGGCTATATAGAGAGTTTCAGGCCATCATAGGCTACAAAGTGAGACCCTGGATCAACACGAAAGTAGAAACAAGAGGAGGAGCTGGAGAGGTAGTTTGAGTCCACAAAGGGCTTACCTTGCAAGTTCGAGAACGTAAATTGTGTCCCGCCTCCAGAATTCACCTACAAATGCTACACGAGCCCGTGAGAGGAGGGCTCAGTGGGTAAGAGCGCTTGCCTCCAAGTCTGTCCACCTGAGTTGGACCCCCTGTCCCACACGGCGGAAGGAGAGAGCCAGCGCCTAAAAGCTGTCCCTTGACCTCCAGGGAGGTGCCATGGCAAGGGCACCTCCCCAAAATAAAAAGTGCGTGCAATACCAATCTTAAGGGCCTGGACAGGTGGTTCAGTGGTTAAGAGGCAGAGGACTTTTGGGTGCTGAAGACCCACAAAGCGTGGGTTGCAGCCACTTCTAACTCCAGCTTAAGGTGAGGCAGTGGAGGGCGAGCCCACATTAACATGACGTGGTACACATACATACATGTGGGCACTCATACATACACATAAAAAGAACCAATAAGCAAATCTGAAACTAAAAGAGAATGAAAATAAGAAGGGGGGGGGACCAGTAAAAGACCTCTGCAAACTGTCCCCTCTGTCCACAGGACCAGTCTGGAAGCAGACTTACAGGTGAGCCATCCCTGTGAAAGGCTGGGCCGTCTTCCTCTGCATGTCAGGGACCCTCCCTCAAAGCACGGTTGGAGCTCAAACACCTTGGAAGGTTCTTGTGCACCCCCTGGCTGAGCTCACCTTGTCCTTAGAGTCTGCTCCGTGTCGGTGCCCCCTGAGGTCCTTGACCCTCCTCTCTCTGCCTCTCTCCATAGCTGAAGTTGCTGAGCGCACCTTTCCTTGCAAAATGTTCTCTTCTCAAAAACAAAGGAAGAACAAGGTGAGGCAGCCAGGGCTTCTCTCTCTCTCTCTCTTTCTCTCTCTCTCTCTCTCTCTCTCTCTCTCTCTCTGTCTCTCTGTGTGTGTGTGTGTGTGTGTGTGTGTGTTATTCAAATGGGTCTCTGCTGAACCGCCTTAGTTCCTGTTTCCTCACACCTCATGTACCTTTCTCTGCCCTGCCGTCACTTCCTGGGATTAAAGGTGTGTGCCACCACTGCTTGGCTCTGTTTCCAGTGTGGCCTTGAACTCATGGAGATCCAGATGGATCTCTGCCTCCTGAATGATAGGATTAAGGGTGTGTGTTATCACTACCTGACCTCTATGTCTAATCTAGAGGCTGGCTCTGTCCTCTGATCCTCTGGCAAGCTTTATTGGAGTACACAATATATCACCATGTGTGTGTGTGTGTGTGTGTGTGTGTGTGTGTGTGTGTGTGTGTGTGCATGACTGTGCGGCCCAGGGGCTGCCCCTCCTCTGATTGTCTCCTCTCTGCC